TTTCTGGGACACATAATGAGGAAGGAGGCCTGGAGAAACTGATACTCAAAGGTCAAATAGAGGGAAAGAGAGACAAGGGAAAACATACCTGGCAGGCTTAAGCAAGGTCTGGGGGAGGAAGCAGAGGGAAGGAACTTGTTAGGGTGCTGCAAGGAATAGAAAGAGGTGAAGAGCCATGATTACCTATGTCCTGAAAGGACATGGCACATAAAAAGAAGATTTTATCTCAAGTGTTTCTGCTTAAAGGCTGAAAGAGGAGGTCTTTGAGGTTTCCAAGTGACAGTCACTTGACAAAGATAAAATAAAAGAACAAATAAGTAAATGAAAGATTTTGAGGTCAAGAGACAACAAGCCACTGCTTATTTTTTTAATTTTTGCATCATTCAGACTGCTGTCTTCATCTTTATTGCCATATTCTATTTTATTCAGCTTCCTTATTCCCAAGTCATGTTCCCTGTCACTTATCTGAATCATATCCCAGGGAAACATGAACCCTTTTCTCTCCAAATATGGTTTCCTAATTTTCAGTTCTCAGACAAGGACCTGATTATTAGCATTATTATTATTATTGACTCAGTGAATGTTCACATCAGTAAAAATTGGTGGTTTATTCTGGAGACTAAGTAACAGCAAGTCTCCTCTACACTGCAGCACCCTGCTCGGTATTATAGCTGTTTTCAGTAATGCTGTCATCTGGATGGTCCTAGGTTTGTCTCTTGACTGGGTGGGAAAAGGAATACCCTGGGAACTATGCAACAGATTGCTTCTTTTTTTTTAGAGACCTGTACTCAGACAAGGATGTTTTTGAACATAGCAATTTTGTTTTTGGAATACTGAACACTAAATTTTTGTCTTTAAACCCCTCCACTCCCAAAGGATGACACTGTGCTAATGTCAAAAGTACTCAAAATAAAACAATATGTATCAACACAGTAATTTCTTCTCTTCTTTTAATACCAACACCAGAAAGTTCATCGAAGAAAATAAGCAGACAAAACTTGTGTAAACTATTCAACGAAACTTGCCTCAATGAAAATGTGTTGCTAAAATACGCACAATACATACATATATATTTATATATATATAACAAAAATGACCTTATCAATTTCTATTCCAACCACAACCAGAGAATAAAACATACATACATACAGGTGTATGCATTTTAGTTCACACAAACACACCCATATAAACAATCCAAGATTAGGTGCAGATACACATCCATGCATTTGAGCTTGTCTGTATGTGTGTGTGTGTGTGTGTGAGTGTGAGAGAGAATGTCATCTCAAATGGACACAGAGGGGAATTACCCACCTCCCACCACCAAACATAATCAAACACAAACAAGCATAAATAGATCCAATTTTAAAAAAATAAACCAGTTTGTATGATGATCAAAAAAGTGTGAAACCCAGAGTTACACATTCATATCCATAAAACTGAAAACTTTCCAATAAGTACTGCACATATAAAATATATATATTTTATTTTGATGGCCATGTTGGCCGAAACTAGTTGAGGAATCTAAATGAAATAATAATAATAAAAATGAAAGAATATTAATCTACAACCCAGTGTGTCTGAAGATTTTAATTTTAATATTTTCATTGTTCAAAAAAAAATAAAAATAAAAAAAAATATATATATATATATATATATATATATATAGTTTTGTTTTTGCTTGCAGGAATCCCTCTTTGATACATGTTTCATTGAAGTTGCCTGACAAGGCGTTGCAATTAAGCTTTTTATTCAATTTTTCTTGCATTCATAAAAATTATCCATTTTCTGGATATAGATTGTACAAAATCTGTCCAAATGTTCTGTAGATCCAAGCAATAATGACTATACTATTAGCCATGATAAAGGGTGATTGTTATTTAACTGATTATGTAAATTTTTTATATTTATTTGTATTTTACAGGCTTGGGAAAGGTTTTTTTTTAACTTCTGAACACTGCTAGCATATTGTGGCCATGTTCATAATTGATATTATTGAGTTTTTAGCTTTTATATATATATATATATATATATATATATATATATATATATATAATGACAAACAAACACTTAAAAAGTCATAGGTGATATTTTTATCTCATCTTTGTTGCCATGTTTATCACAACGTTTTCGCCGTTGTATGCTCTGGCCTTCTTCAGGAACGACACATGGCACAGTGGATAAAGGCATTAGTTAGATCCAGTGACAGAACCCAAAGAGTGTGAGTTCCATACCTGGTTAAGACAGTGGAGAACTTTCAGAGGGAAATTAACAGGAGATAACTGATAACTGACATCCATTAAACATGGCACGTGGCACTAGAACAGTCTATCCCAGTGAGCAAAATAAAGTGTTCAGTTCGACATTCTAACCACCTGAAGAAGGCTGGAGCGTACAACAGCCGAAACATTATAATACACATGGCAACAAAAATGAGGACAATAGTCTGAATAATGTAAATAGTGTGCATAATAATACCTCATATCAGAAATGTAGACATTCATCTGACTGAGTTTGTTGACGTTGTGATTAGACATGTGCATGAACTAGAGACACTGGTAGTTACAAAATTTTTTAAAATCTCACCAAACTTAATATTCTTTTTCTTTCAATCATTTTTGTTTTTAACTATCTCACATTGTGATAACAGAAAATTTGCCAAGAATGGTGAAACATTCTCAGAATCTGGATGTAAATTTACTGTAACTGAACAAATGATTAAAACTCTTTCTAGACATTTTCATCTTAGGGAATTATTTTCTCTTTTAATTAGAGTCGCATTTTTTTATGTCAAAATTGTGGTCTGTTTCATTATGATGAACAGACAATGTGTTTTGTGTGTCATTTTTGTTAAACGTCTCTTTTGGGATCATGCTGTCTTTTGTTTAAACTTCTTGTGGTTTCTCCAATATATTCATTCTGGCAACCCTTACAATGATTAAAATCCTCCTTCAAGGTTTGAGTTGTTGTCGTTTTGTATTTTTATTGATTAAGTTTTTTTATTGTTTAAGATATAGTTGTGACAAATTTTATGTTGAGTTTAGATAAACTCTTTTTGGCTGTAGTTGTGATAAAGTTAGTGGGTAGAATATATCTTTTTGATTCATTGAGTTTGTCAGGAAGGACAGCTCTTGTATTTTGGAACATTTTATGAAGTTTTTGTTTCACATTAAATATGAAATAATTAGGGTATTGAAGTGTCTTGAAAGTATTTTCAATATATTTCTCCTCTTTACGAAAATGTTGAGGACTGCAAATTTTGAATGCTCTTAAATAGAATCCAATGATCATTCTGGATTTTTTTGTTGTTATAATGGGAATAGAAGTTTATGAAGTCATTTTTATTAGTTGATTTTCAGTCGACACTAAGTTTTAGACTATTGTCAATTCAGTGTAACATGATGTCTAAGAAAGGTAAAATACTGTTTTCTTTAATTTGTACATAAATTCTCTTCTATGTTTGACTTTGGTTTATCTACAAGATTCAGTAAGTCAGTATTGTCCTCAATATATCAGAAGTTGATTGTTTAGTTAAAATATTTTGGAAAGAGCCAGACTCAAGAAATTCTAAGGAGATGCATGCTATCACTCCATTAAGAGGTGATCCCATTGGTAATTTAAATTTTTGTTTGTAAAAATTGTTATTAAATGTGAAAAAAAACATTGATTGGTGATGAGACGTCAGATTATTATTATTTTAGCTGTTGGTAGGAAGATGTTTACCTTTGATTGTGTTAGATGCTTTTTAAGAGATTTCAGCATTTTTCAACCAGGATATTAATGTAAAGGGATTTTATATCTTGGCTGGCCATAAGTTTGTAACTCATATTTATTTACCTTAGTTTTTCAACAAGGCTACCTGAATTTTTTTATATGTAATGGACTTATTATTCCAAGGAGAGGGGTTAAAATCATTGCTAAGGCTTTAGCTAGTATGTGAGGGTGTGGGTGCTGCATATTCTTGAAATGATGGTTGACAGAGGGATATCAGTTTTGTGGGTCTTAGGGTGACCGTTAAATTTGGGGGTCTTTGGGTGACATTCCATGACTTTTTTTTCTATTTTTAGTTAGTTTCCTGATTTCCTTGTTGAATTTTTGTGTTTCACTAGTTACTTTTGGTTTGTTTATTTTTGTATCTGTAGGTATCCAGTGTTGTTGGGTAGGGAGTGAATTCTTTCTATATACTATTCTTTTTTATGATCCCTGTATGCTCCCCACCCGACCCCTGTCAGCAGGTGTGATGTTGATTTCCTTACTTGTTGCTAGGTGTCTCACTGGTAATAGAAAAGTTGTATGTATGCATATGTTTTCCTTTTCAAAATATGGTCAAGATATTGCATCCATGTTCATAGTTGATATTACTCAGTGTTGGTTTTTTGTTTTTATCAATAAGGCTGCCATTATTTTTAGCCTTTTTTTACATATAGAGGGATGCTATTATATTTGCATTGTCAACAAGTATGTCATGAATAGTGTCCGGTAGGTCTCCATGATTATTTAAATGAGATCTAATTGAGCTATGGTCAGAAAGGTGTAGAGTGAGTCTTTGTTTCAACATTATATGAATACATACATACAGACAACAATGTATTTCTTGTGAAAAGTTAATATATTTCAATCTTGTAATTGGTTAAATGTATAGCCAAAAGTGCTCGTAAAGAAAAAACAATTGGACAGTTTTTATATAATTTATAATCCAAAAAGAAAAAAATTATAAGATCACATGAGAAATTGCATAAAATACTAAATCAAAGCACCTTGTATGTCGTATTCAATAAAACATGCATGAAAGAAGGATTTCTGCCTAAATACTATATATATATATATATATATATATATATATATATATATATATATATATATATTCATTCTTTGTATAGCTACTCAAGACAAAAGAATAATTTTTCCTTTCTGTAAAAGAAAGGAGCATAATTAGTTTCCCCAAATAATTTTTCTTTAAATAAATATTATGTGGATGCATGTCAAAATTTGAAGGTACTTACCTCAAAAGTCAGTTCGCCTTGTGACTTATTAATCTTGGTCTGCATATCCAGTTTAATGTGTCCCTGAGGTTTCCTCAACACGTCATGCTGAAAAACATACAAAACATAAAATTCATTATTTACTTTCAGACTATTATGAGACATCTTTGTGTTGTTATCACAATTCGGTAGTTCAATAAGAGTGTGTAATAACTAAGCAGTAAGCCAGAATGTATTTTACATATTTATAAGTCTATCCTTCTTACATTCATCGAATATTGCTGTCTTGATTCTTAATAAAATCCAAAGAAGAATCTGCAATATTATTGGTCCTGATCTGGCATCTTGGCTTCAGTCACTTTCTTGCTGCCATAATATTGCTTCCCTTTGCCTTTTCTATAAATAATTTTATGAAAACTGCTCAGATGAACTTTTTGCTATGGTACTTAGTATGGATTTAAGCACGGTATTAGATTGGGAACAAAAAACCAATGAGTTTGTGCAGAAAAGGGTTGAACATTTTGAATGATACCAGGAACCTCTTCTCATCACTGTCAAATGGAGAAAAATGGCATGGTTTGGACATGTTACAAGGCATGACAACCGGTGTAAGACCAACATGCAAGGCACTGTTGAAGGTGGATGCAGAAGAGAATGCCAACGCAAAAACTGATTGGACAATGTCAAACAATGGACAGATATGACTGTACCAGAATTGCTGATGGCTGCCATTGATAGACCATTGTGAAAAAGAGTTACTGTGGCTTCTGCATTTAGATCGACCATACAATTACAAAAGTCAAGGGGATGATAATGACGACAAGATTGACAGCAAGATCTCATCATTTTACAGTTGAAATGGATAGATGTTATCCATAAGTTCTGTGCTAACAGTTTCTTCTCTCACACTTCTGGCTTGTGGATCTCTGTTGTAATATACAGCAAGATCATGTTGTGGATGGACGAAATACCTAATGGATTGCTCTTCCAGCAGCTACGGGGTTAATAGACAGGGAGGAGAAAGAGACAGGAGGTAACAAAAAATAACAGTGCCTTGGAAACCACAACAACTTGAGGAACAAAAATGCCCATGAGACTGACTTAACAAGACACTGTGTCTTGGCAACTGCCAACCACTGGTTTTCTCCCTACTTTTATTGGCATGAGACATCTTAAAATGACCCAACTCTTGACCAGTTCCAGAGAAGCCCCTATCTAGATCTCTTTGATTGTGGGTTTATTAATATATTTTAATTGTATGAGGAATATTATAAATGTTGGAAGTGAATATGTATGTGTGCCAGTTGGATATTTATTCTATGACGCATGTTGGAGGTGAATATGTAACACTAAGGTTACATCCTCTACAAATGTTTAAATCTTACCGTCTCTAAATTTTAGTTTTATCAACAAGTGCACCAGTTGGGTATTTATTGTAAGGCAATTATTTATTAATATTTATTTATATTCCTTCTCAATATTTCTCTATAATAGGTTGTGTTAATTTTCTTTTTTTTTTTACTAATGTAGAATTTTTGAAATCAAGTTTGTCACCTGTTTTATTTCTATATGCTACTAAGGAGTTTAAATAAGTTAAAATTAAAAGACTTATGGAAATTGGTCATATTAGTGTAATGATGAATATGTTGGAAGTGAATGCTAATCTTACATTAGCTATAAATGTTTGGATCTTACACTTCTGTTATCCCCATTTTTAAATAAAATATCAATTATCTTTAAGTAATTCTTATGAAATTATTTTCATTTTTTTAAATTGCCTAAAATATTGGGGTTGGGAGCATTTAATTCAAAAATATCTTACCAACAAAACAAAGATGGAAATCATAATCAAATAATTACCTGAGATTTATAGTAATACAATGCTCCATTCCTGAGAACAAACCATTTTCTTTTCCACATTTTTACTTTCCCACCTAACTTCGAAAGGTAACCACATTTTTCCAGTGTATCCTGAAAGTAGAGGCAAAAATTATTCTTCATTCTTCATGGAGACCATAAAAGAAACTTCAAAATTTTCTTTGCTTTAAAATAAGAAAGAAAGATGGCATATCAAGTTCATAAATTCCAATGCCTTAAGGAAAAGCGTTTAGCATTAAGATATACAATCTATAACGAATGATTCTAAGATCTTAGCAATAATCCAGGATAAGATTAAAACAGTTTAATATGTTACAAGAAAATGATTAAATAATAAGTCAAAGTCTAAAACTCATTTCATGAAAATTAGTAAATGGGAATGCAAAAGGAAAAAATATTCAAGGGAAATAATTCAATATTTTTTTCTTTAGTTCTCTCCCTTGTTTAATAACTATAAATATAATTATTCAAGGGAGGTAATTTGTAAAAAATAAAAAGCAAAAACATTAAACTGACAAGTTGTTTGTTCGTTCTTGATCAATCTACAAACGTTGAAGGTTATTTTTCTTGATTTCTTCAATTATGTCGCCTTTACGAAAACTGAGTTCTTCAAGATCTGTCAAAATTAAAACAATGTTTTGTATATTTGTCTTCTTGCCAAATATACTTAGGCACATGGACTTTTGTTGAAGCATTTCCACGTCTGGCATAAGGCTCTGATAGTGAATCAACCTCACTACACAAGTGAAATTAGTACAAATTTCTTAACCACTGCACTTTTAAAAATATGTCTCAGCTGCTCTATCTTTTGTCACTGAATTTCATGGTTTATTTTTTCTTTGCTGATATAATAATTTTATAGTAGTAAATTCTAATTGCAGAATCAATGTTTGCAAGAGAGAATTTTAATTATATATATATATATATATAATAATAATATTTTTTTGTTTAAAAATATGATTCCTTCGCTACAGAAGAGTTCTCATGTTTCAAAAACGAGAGCCTAAAAAACAATCCAAATAATTATTAAAATTAAGTTGAATTGAGGTGTTTAGTCGTTTCATCTTCAAAGCGAAATTTTGTAGCGTGTTGGAATCATATTTTTTAAATAAATAATTATATATATATATATATATATATATATATATATATATATATATATATATAATAAAAAAAAAATGTTCAAAAATTAAAATGTTAGACACACTTGGTTCAATATTGATATTTTTCTTTTATAATTTAAATTATATCCCTTGATAAGTTTCAGCCAGCATGGCCATCATCAGGAGGATAAAACTTCCTGTTTGTTAGTAATAGTGAACTACTGGGGTGAATGACTGTCTCTAAATAAAGTGAACTTTGCCTATAGTTTTCATTTACTTTTTTATTGTTAATTTTTGGTCAGTCCTTGTATTGGACAAAAGGCCTCTTTCAAGTTCTTTTAAGGAGAGGTTGGGAGATTCATGAGTAATTTATTTATTTATATATATATATATATATATAAATATATATTAATGTATATTTGGGCAACAATCTTTCTTTTAAACATGTTTTGTTAAATGACAGACAGTGAAAATTTAATTAATTTTTTTTTTTTTTTTTAGTTTTCCAGCATTCTTACATTTTTCTGTTTGGTTTGATTTATTTCGTTTTACGGCATATTAACCTCAATGGCTTATTTAATGCCAACAACATTTTTTATTGCTGGTAATATTTTGTTTTGTCAAAAATCTGTTTCTGGTAATATATTTCCTTCAAAATTTTATTGCTGGTAATAATTTTTTTCAAAAAAGTATTGCTGGTAATAGTCAACTATTTGCTCATAGCTGGGATCCTAACAGGTTCTACCACCTTGGGTCAGATTGGACCTGGGAACACCAGCAATTAAGAGGTGGTTCCACACTCCTCAAAACCTCCTGATCAGAGGCCTTGCTGCTGGACGTAGTTTAACGTCTTATCCAGAACGTTTAACCCAGGACAAATTTTTCTGTTTGGTGGGAGTAAGGGAGTGCAAAAATTGTCCATTGCCTCAAGTACTTTCATCTGCTTCTTTAACTATTTTCAAGAGTTTATTTTTTTTAGTTTTATGAATTTCTCTTCATGTTTGACTGTTTGAGATGGATTTTTCTTGTGTTGTTTTGAACACTAGTAGAAGCATTTAATCCAAGTCTTCACATGCTGGGTGTGACTGGAATTCAAGTGACCCTTCTAATAGTTTTAAAAAACTTTTAACACCCCATTGCCACTATTGAATAAGGTGAGGTTGATAGTGGGAATGAGATGTTTTATATACAGGGCCTCTTTCAAAATAAGAAGTTTCCAGTAATTTGATTTATATAGATGTTTTGTGCTTTCAACCATATATATATTAACACTGCATGGCAACTAACAGCTTCACTCCACATAAAATGCACAATGTGAGTGTCCCACCTAATAAATAGTTGTTATTGTTTGTTCTATAAATCCATGTTTGTGTTTATTCATGTTTCTTTTATTGTCCTTTCCCAGTGAAGTTTTCTTTCACTCTCAGTAAACCATTGCATCTTAGTAGCTTTATCACCTTGCTTGTGGTGAATTGATTAAAACAGTTTAACTTTAGTTACCTATTGAGTATTTTTTTTGCACAACTAACAACTATTTACTAGGTGGGACACTCGCATTGTGAAAATCAATGAGTCTCTGTTAGAGCAATTAGTTCATTGTGGGGATGTCAAACACTGGTCATTAATCACACATGTAAGCTTATTGGGAGCATATTTGGTTTTAGTATGTGGAGCTCATACTTACAAATAAGCCCAAATTATCTATCAATAGAACATTAGTTCTCATGTTAAATTCCTCATCTGTGTAGTGAGTGGAATTTGTGGCACTGGCGTATTGTGCAGATGTGTTGTTCTCGATTCATAATAGTGGTTGCATTCTCTGTCACTATATTGATATTTTTTTTTTTTTTAAGCGTTTCACCCCAAGCAAGGCAAGAAGCCACTAGGATGCAGGGGGTTACAGAAAATTTGGAGCAAGATCAGATAGGAGTGATAGAGGAAAGGATGAGTAGAAGGATAGTGGATAGGTCAAGGCAACTGGAGATGTTGATTGACATTACATTTGAATAGTTGGAGATTATAGCTCTCAGGGAAACTGGAATAAGGAAGGGAGTTCCACAGGCAAGAGGTGTGAGACATGAAGCTATTGGAGTAGAAGAGACGGCAACATTTAGGAGTATCTGTGTAAATGCTGATTTTTCTCAGCTCTTTTTTTTAAGTTGTTCTTAAAATTTGTTCTTTATTTATCTCTTGATTTATTTAATTTAATTTTTATATTATTTAATTTTTTATTTTGTTTAACTTACTTTATTTAATAGATGTTGAATATTATTAATTTGAAATTGTGCTGATCAAAATACAATGACTTTTTTGCTTACTGAAATGACATGACTATTAGGCATATTACTGTACTTATTTTAGTTCTGATCATCGCCTCATTTAGCCTCTATGTTAACTTGTTCAGCCTTTTAAGGAAAAATTTATTTCTAGGTCAATCTATCTGCTCATATTTAATTTTTCCATCTTTCCTTATCTTCCTCTCCCTCACTATCCTTCTTTCTCCCCCATCTTTTTCCTCCCCCTCTCTTTCTCTCTTTCCTCAATTTTTTTTTAAATCTTATGTTAAAATTTTTCTTTTTCTTTCTTCCTTTTTTTATTATAATTTTTTTTTCCTTTTTCCTTTCTTTTTTCCCTTTCCTTTACCCTCTTCCTTTTGTTTGTACAGTTTTCATTTCTAGAAAAAAACATCTGTCTGAAGAGATGAATATTTGAATATATTCATCAAATAAATTATAACCAAACTTAATTTTTAAGGATTGTCTTTATATATATATATATATATATATATATATGTGTGTGTGTGTGTGTGTATATATATAAAGAATTACTGGGTTTATTTTTATTATTTCAAACTTTATAATAGTGGATACTCGTATTTGAAATAGATGCCCCATTTTTATTTTATTAGTATAGATTGTCTATCAGCCTGCTTGGTAGTTAAGAAATCTCAACAAAGAAAACATCAAGCATAAAAGAGTGATGTCTGGAGATACATACGTGTTTACGACTGTCTGTGGCATATTTTAAAATTTTCTGCTCTGGTTCTGAGCACTCCGAATCGCTTTTGCTGGACACGTCATCGGGTGGCACGGCATAATCACAGGAGATTTCGGAGAGTTCAGAATGGCACGAAACACCTGGATAAAAATTATACAATTAAAATTTGAACATTTTTAAATAAAAACATACTGAACAGTATTTCTGTCCCACAACACATATTGACCCTTTGTCAAATTTAAATAAGTAGACTGTACTGTGCACTAGCACTTCATAACCACTAAAAAGAACTGTACCAAATAACAGAAACCACATCACTTGAGGACTTTTAACAGCTAAAACAGATATCATATTCAACTTGAAAAGAAAATAATGACATTATCAAGATATTCTCATTTCACACCACTTCAAACAAAAAGGTTAGGAAGGAAACCTCCATCAATACTGGAAAGAGTGATAACAGCTACTGGGCTTGAGAAGAGAAAATAATGACATAATCAAGATGTTGACATTCCACACTACTTCAAATAAAAGGTTAGGAAGGAAACTCCTCATCAATAATGGAAAGAGGATAACAGCTACTGGGCTTGAGAAGAGAAAATAATGACATAATCAAGATGTTGACATTCCACACTACTCAAATAAATGGTTAGGAAGGAAACTCCATCAATACTGGAAAGAGTGATAACAGCTACTGGGCTTGAGAAGAGAAAAATAATGACATAATCAAGATGTTGACATTCCACATACTTCAAATAAAAAGGTTAGGAAGGAAACTCCCCATCAATAATGGAACGAGTGATAACAGCTACTGGACTTCAGAAGAGAAAATAATGACATAATCAAGATGTTGACATTCCACACTACTTCAAATAAATGGTTAGGAAGGAAACCTCCATCAATACTGGAAAGAGTGATAACAGCTACTGGGCTTGAGAAGAGAAAATAATGACATAATCAAGATGTTGATATTCCACACTACTTCGAATAAATGGTTAGGAAGGAAACCTCCATCAATACCGGAAAGAGTGATAACAGCTACTGGGCTTGAGAAGAGAAAATAATGACATAATCAAGATGTTGACATTCCACACTACTTCAAATAAATGGTTAGGAAGGAAACTCCTCATCAATACTGGAAAGAGTGATAACAGCTACTGGGCTTGAGAAGAGAAAATAATGACATAATCAAGATGTTGACATTCCACTACTTCAAACAAAAAGGTTAGGGAAGGAAACCTCCATCAATACTGGAAAGAGTGATAACAGCTACTGGGCTTGAGAAGAGAAAATAATGACATAATCAAGATGTTGATATTCCACACTACTTCGAATAAAAGGTTAGGAAGGAAACTCCTCATCAATAATGGAAAGAGTGATAACAGCTACTGGGCTTGAGAAGAGAAAATAATGACATAATCAAGATGTTGACATTCCACACTACTTCAAATAAATGGTTAGGAAGGAAACCTCCATCAATACTGGAAAGAGTGATAACAGCTACTGGGCTTGAGAAGAGAAAATAATGACATAATCAAGATGTTGATATTCCACACTACTTCGAATAAATGGTTAGGAAGGAAACCTCCATCAATACCGGAAAGAGTGATAACAGCTACTGGGCTTGAGAAGAGAAAATAATGACATAATCAAGATGTTGACATTCCACACTACTTCAAAATAAAAGGTTCGGAAGGAAACTCCTCATCAATAATGGAAAGAGTGATAACAGCTACTGGGCTTGAGAAGAGAAAATAATGACATAATCAAGATGTTGACATTCCACACTACTTCAAATAAATGGTTAGGAAGGAAACCTCCATCAATACTGGAAAGAGTGATAACAGCTACTGGGCTTGAAGAAGAAAATAATGACATAATCAAGATGTTGATATTCCACACTATTTGAATAAATGGTTAGGAAGGAAACCTCCATCAATACCGGAAAGAGTGATAACAGCTACTGGGCTTGAGAAGAGAAAATAATGACATAATCAAGATGTTGACATTCCACACTACTTCAAATAAATGGTTAGGAAGGAAACTCCTCATCAATACTGGAAAGAGTGATAACAGCTACTGGGCTTGAGAAGAGAAAATAATGACATAATCAAGATGTTGACATTCCACACTACTTCAAACAAAAGGTTAGGAAGGAAACCTCCATCAATACTGGAAAGAGTGATAACAGCTACTGGGCTTGAGAAGAGAAAATAATGACATAATCAAGATGTTGATATTCCACACTACTTCGAATAAAAGGTAAGGAAATACTGGAAAGAGTGATAACAGCTACTGGGCTTGAGAAGAGAAAATAATGACATAATAAAGATGTTAACATTCCACATTAATTCAAATAAAAGGTTAGGAAAGAAACCTCCATCAATACTGGAAATAGTGATAACTGGGCTTAAGAAACTTATTTTCCTGAAAAATTGTTTTAAGTGAAAGATTTTAGAAATTTCAGCTGATAGCAGTACTGGCATCTCAATCAATGAATGCCAAATGTTTCCTTATAAGGAAACAGCTAATATTACCATCTGAATCTGTCATGGGCAAACTGTGACCCATTTGGTCTTTCTGAATGACATGTTTATTTTCATGTGGAAAATAACGATTCTTAGAATTTTATTTTATATTATTCACTTGTTCACTCACACACTCTCTCTCATACCACATATATGAACAATGATTAAGTACAATGATTTTTGAATTTTGTAAACTTTTGGAGAAAGTAACATTGACTGTATTTTAAACCATTAGCGATTTTTCACTTAGGAAGATTATACATGTAAACATCTTTTGCTTTTGAAAGAGGAAACATTCATAAGAATTTTTTCCTAAAGAAGAAATTTTTTTTATTTTCAAATAAATAAATTAGATGCTGTGACATATGTTAATCCCCATCATCAATGATAATATTATAACAAGACTTCAATATTTTAATTATAAAAAAAATATTTTTAGAAATAAAACTTTCCTGCCATTTCTAACGTATATGCTTGCAATAATATGATCTTCTATAGTGAAAATAGCCAAGGTATCTACTTGAAATTACCTATGAAAAATTACTTTGAATCTTTCTAATAGTGCAGCTCGCCTTGGGATAAGACATAGATCATATGGACCACTGCTCAAAAAATGGTCACCTATGCTTGATCTAAGTTCACACCATTTTTCATATTTTCTTATAAATTGGCTTAAACTAGTCTGGTAAAATGCCTTCATTGTGGAGATTTAACTTACTAGTGATTATATGATTGAGTAGTGTGTCATCCATTATTCTTGATATTTAAGAAAGTCTGGTACAAGGACATGATAATGCTGAAACCACTGAGGATCAGATTTATTGAATTGGAATAATTATAGCGAATTAGAATCTGCTGCCAGCAAAGGTGGTTCATTACATCATGCTAGACAATTTTTTCTGGCCAGAAGATATCTAGCAGATTTATAAATCATTTGTGCCTTGGGTATTACTACTACATCCAGTCTGATGCTTCTGCTATGTATCAAGAGATTTTTAACAAGAATCAAAAGAATCTGCAATGTCATCAGTCCTGACCTGGCATCTTGGCTTCAGTTACATTCTCATCATCACAAAGTTGCTTCCCTGTGCCTTTTCCATAAATCTTTTCATGGTAATTGTTTGGATAAACTTTTCCTATATCAAACCTCAATTTCACAAAATTAAGCACAGTACTAGATTGGCAGTTAGGTCTTAGCATTTTACTGTTCAAATTGCTAGATGTAATCATAAATTCTACACTAATAGTTTCTCCTCTCATATTTATCCTCCCTTTTACACTTCCCCCATTATGTGCATTATTATATTCATGCTATAATAACACTGTAGTTCAAGGATGGGATGGAACAGAATGGTGGAAAGTAAAAAGGAATGTTTTGTACTCAGGGAGACTTTTATAATACTATGCCATACACAAAACTATATATATATATATATATATATATATATATATATACAAGTGTCCCATTTAGAGAAATATAAATAAAATATATCTACATTGCAAAGCAAAGTATAAGGAGGTACAAAAAGGAAAAGTCTTAAATATAACTTGGAGATACTCCTGATCCGTAAATGCTATTTTTAGGACTCCAGATTTAAACATACCAGATTCATCTATGTCCTAAAGGGAAACAGCATTATGTGCTTGTAAGTTGTTAAGGGAGGCAGATTTAACTTCAGTCTGGGCCCACTGGTGCAGGCTAGAAGAAAGCAACCTTCTCATTTGGTTGCTGTCTACAAAATGAAAAATGACTGCCACTTTGGTCACTGTATCTCAAATCAGTCATCATGTGACCCACATCATTTATCTCCACCAAAGGAAAATAAATGCTTTCTGTATTCTTACAACATGAGAAAATAAGAGCAGTAAATATGGCAAATTTTAAATTTATTGATAATTTTCTAACATTTTATCAACACGCATCTTCGTACGTAAGCCTCTTGTTTATATATGAGAACATCATGCCAAAGTAATTAATATTCCATAAAATATTAAAATGCTTAAAATATTTCAAATTTTTAAGATTATTGAAGAGTTAAAAAATTATATAAAAAAGACATTTACACTGTATTTGTCATATAATTTTATAATAATTATCTCCTCCTCAGAGAAATTACTCAAACATCAGGTTGTCAATAAATGTATCAACACTTCATAAAAACACCCACCTCTGAATTAAAAATCTTTTCTTCGATATTTTAAACTAAAACAATATTTGTTTCAATTCTGATTAATTAAACTTTAAATCAACTAATTTTTCTCAAATAGCATTTCAGAAAAGTATATTTTATTTTTGAAAGATTTTTTAATAAAGAGAATTATGTTGTGTTGATAAATCTATTAATGTGGATGAAGATATTTCCTTTTTAAAAATGCATTTTAAACTTCAGTCATCACTTTTTGGTGAGGAGGTACCTTGTATAGTGAAAAAAATGACGACATAACTCATCAAACCAAGAAATCGTGTGTTGCATGTATCCTACATCAGAAAACAAAGCAAGAGCACATGTGGCCTCTTGTTTATATATGAGAACGTCATGCAAATTTTAGGTCACACCTCAACTAATCACTGACTTCTTGACCTAGATATAAACAAGTTCCACATGTAGCCAAGAAATTGGCTCTATGACACATTACACAGCATGAAGGAGGATTTCTTGAGATGTGCAACTGTTGGATTGAATTTTATCTTCTCATAAAATTCTACTCCGCCTGTTTTTGTGTCATATTTAAAAAAAAAAATTTTCTCTTTTCATTATCTGCGTTTTCCATTTCATAAATCCAACAAAGATTTTGCTCGCTCTCTCTCTCTCTCTCTATATATATATATATATATATATATATTATAAATTAATTGATTTAAAATATGGTTTTAAAAACCATATTTTAAATCGAGCACTATTTTGTAAAAATAAAAATATCTATAAGAACACCGAATTATATATCTTACTGTTCTTTCTTTTTATTTATATATATATATATACACACACACACATAAAATCTTACCTCTCTTTATGGCTCCTGAGCTGCTTTGATTAATGGGTACCTTGCGTGCGGACAGGGAGCTGAATGTTCGGCCACTCACAGGGCTGGTAATAGTTTGTATCGCTTCTGAATGGCTACTGTCAAGACCGTTACACATATCGTCGTCTGAAGAATCAGAGGTTGTGTCACCCAGGAATGGAGATTTCCGAATCTGTGCTGCTTTCTACAAGAAAAAAAAAACAAAAATTTATTTAATTCCAAAAGAATCTGAGTAAAGTACTTAATGGAATCTCGGCAGCGAGCAACATTTGGTAATCATCTGAAAATTAAATAGATATCATTATTTGCATTATATACAGACTGTTAACCTCATCTTTGTTGTTATTACCACAACGTTTCAGCTACTATACATGCCAGCCTTCATCAGGTGCTTGTCAATCCAGGTAACCTTCAAGAAATTTTAAAATGAACTCTTTATTTAATCTCTGGGGGTAGATGGTTCTCATTCCACTGACCATATCTAGGGATATCTCATCTAGTTCTTATTAAATTTATTCATTAATTCATGACCACTGACAATACCTTCTCTTGACTTTCAATACATTTCTATAGTAAAATCAATTCCAATACATTGCAACATAAAAAATCAAGATGTGGAATTAGTAAATACTGAAAACTTCAAATAGCCTGGCGCCTGGATGAGTTATAATAAATTTAATAGAGGAGAAAAGGAAATTGAACATAGAATAGGCTGCGTGAGGAGTAGTTTTGCCAAACATCACAAATTTCTACAAAGCCAAAACAATAGTCTAAAAACTTGAGTCATTATCTTAAATAGCCTTGTCTAATTGTGACTTTTATATGGATGTCACGCATGGTGTAAAAGTCATTCAGAAATATCTAAACTGTCAGCTGTATACAGCCGTTACCTAAAATCAATGGTTAAAAATGGCTTCTTGTAAACTTGTATTCACTTATGTACAAATTCCCTTGAGAAAGGTATGAATCCATCTCTTCTCCCCCAGCTATGGGTTAATTAATATTACTTGTATCATAAATCATTATCGCCACAAAAAATAAATCTTTACAATCTAAAAATATTTTCTGACTTTAAATAACATGCAAAGGATTGATAAGTCATATAAAACAAATCAATCAATCAATTGATTAATAAGAATGATCTTGAACAAGAAGTGAATATTTTCTATGAAGTGTTCTAAGCAGTGAGACTCAAGAAACATTTTTCTAAGTCAGAAAAAAATGATCTAAAATTAAAATGAAAGCACTGTTGACTCCTATCTTGAATCCATTATAAAAATTTTCAAATGTGGAATTAGTAAATACTAAAGACTTCAGATATCTCAGTGTATAGATCAGTTATAATAAATTTAGTAGAAGAGAAAAGGAAATTGAATGTAGAATCAGCTGAATCAGAGATAGTTTTGCCCAAAACCACAAATTGCCACAAAACCTCAACCTGAAAACATGAGTCATTTTCTTAAATTGCCACAAAACCTCAACCTGAAAACATGAGTCATTTTCTTAAATTGCCACAAAACCTCAACCTGAAAACATGAGTCATTTTCTTAAATTGCCACAAAACCTCAACCTGAAAACATGAGTCATTTTCTTAAATTGCCTCATCAGATCTAAACTTCCATATGGATGTCATGCATAGCACCAAACCTGTTCAGAAATATCTAAACTGTCAGCTGTATTCATTGTTTTCTTAGATTTATGGTTAAAATGGTTTTGAGTGAATGAAGCCTGTGGGTCTTGGCAAAGATCATCCTTCTTTGAATATTGCAGACTGATGCTATAAAATCACAATCAAAGAACTGTACCAAATAACAGAATCTATATCAGTTGAGGACTACCAACAGCAGCAACAACTAAAATAGGTAGAAAATGCAACTGGAAGAGAAAATAATAACATAATCATATTCTCATTTCACACCACTTCAAACAAAAAGGTTAGGAAGGAAACCTCCATCAATACTGGAAAGAGTGATAACAGCTACTGGGCTTGAGAAGAGAAAATAATGACATAATCAAGATGTTGACATTCCACACTACTTCAAATAAAAGGTTAGGAAGGAAACTCCTCATCAATAATGGAAAGAGTGATAACAGCTACTGGGCTTGAGAAGAGAAAATAATGACATAATCAAGATGTTGACATTCCACACTACTTCAAATAAATGGTTAGGAAGGAAACCTCCATCAATACTGGAAAGAGTGATAACAGCTACTGGGCTTGAGAAGAGAAAATAATGACATAATCAAGATGTTGACATTCCACACTACTTCAAATAAAAGGTTAGGAAGGAAACTCCTCATCAATAATGGAAAGAGTGATAACAGCTACTGGGCTTGAGAAGAGAAAATAATGACATAATCAAGATGTTGACATTCCACACTACTTCAAATAAAAGGTTAGGAAGGAAACCTCCATCAATAATGGAAAGAGTGATAACAGCTACTGGGCTTGAGAAGAAAATAATGACATAATCAAGATGTTGACATTCCACACTACTTCAAATAAAAGGTTAGGAAGGAAACCTCCATCAATAATGGAAAGAGTGATAACAGCTACTGGGCTTGAGAAGAGAAAATAATGACATAATCAAGATGTTGACATTCCACACTACTTCAAATAAAAGGTTAGGAAGGAAACCTCCATCAATAATGGAAAGAGTGATAACAGCTACTGGGCTTGAGAAGAGAAAATAATGACATAATCAAGATGTTGACATTCCACACTACTTCAAACAAAAGGTTAGGAAGGAAACTCCCATCAATAATGGAAAGAGTGATAACAGCTACTGGGCTTGAGAAGAGAAAATAATGACATAATCAAGATGTTGACATTCCACACTACTTCAAATAAAAGGTTAGGAAGGAAACCTCCATCAATAATGGAAAGAGGATAACAGCTACTGGGCTTGAGAAGAGAAAATAATGACATAATCAAGATGTTGACATTCACACTACTTCAAACAAAAAGGTTAGGAAGGAAACTCCCATCAATAATGGAAAGATTGATAACAGCTACTGGGCTTGAGAAGAGAAAATAATGACATAATCAAGATGTTGACATTCCACACTACTTCAAACAAAAGGTTAGGAAGGAAACTACCATCAATAATGGAAAGAGTGATAACAGCTACTGGGCTTGACAAGAGAAAATAATGACATAATCAAGATGCTGACATTCCACACTACTTCAAACAAAAGGTTAGGAAGGAAACTCCCATCAATAATGGAAAGAGTGATAACAGCTACTGGGCTTGAGAAGAGAAAATAATGACATAATCAAGATGTTGACATTCCACACTACTTCAAACAAAAGGTTAGGAAGGAAACTCCCATCAATATTTGAAAGAGTGATAACAGCTACTGGGCTTGAGAAGAGAAAATAATGACATAATCAAGATGTTGACATTCCACACTACTTCAAACAAAAGGTTAGGAAGGAAACTCCCATCAATAATGGAAAGAGTGATAACAGCTACTGGGCTTGAGAAGAGAAAATAATGACATAATCAAGATGTTGACATTCCACACTACTTCAAATAAAAGGTTAGGAAGGAAACCTCCATCAATAATGGAAAGAGTGATAACAGCTACTGGGCTTGAGAAGAGAAAATAATGACATAATCAAGATGTTGACATTCCACACTACTTCAAACAAAAAAGGTTAGGAAGGAAACTCCATCAATAATGGAAAAGTGATAAAAAAAGGTTCAGGAAGTTGATAACACTACTTCAAAAAAATGGAAACTCCCATCAATAATGGAAAAGAGTGATAACAGCTACTGGTCTTGAGAAGAGAAAATAATGACATAATCAAGATGTTGATATTCCACACTACTTCAAACAAAAGGTTAGGAAGGAAACTCCCATCAATAATGGAAAGAGTGATAACAGCTACTGGGCTTGAGAAGAGAAAATAATGACATAATCAAGATGTTGACATTCCACACTACTTCAAACAAAAGGTTAGGAAGGAAACTCCCATCAATAATGAAAAAGAGTGATAACAGCTACTGGGAAGAAGAAAATAAGACATAATCAAGATGTTGAAAATAAAAGGTTAGGAAGGAAACCCCTCCATCAATAATGGAAAGATGATAACAGCTACTTCCAATGACATAATCAAGATGTTGACATTCCAAACTTCAAACAAAAAAGGTTAGAAGGAAACTCCCATCAATAATGAAAAGAGTGATAACAGCTACTGGGCTTGAGAAGAGAAAATAATGACATAATCAAGATGTTGACATTCCACACTACTTCAAACAAAAGGTTAGGAAGGAAACTCCCATCAATAATGGAAAGAGTGATAACAGCTACTGGGCTTGAGAAGAGAAAATAATGACATAATCAAGATGTTGACATTCCACACTACTTCAAACAAAAGGTTAGGAAGGAAACTCCCATCAATAATGGAAAGAATGATAATAGCTACTAGACTTGAAAAACTGATTTACCTGAAAAATTGTTTTAAGAGAAAGATTTTGTAATCTGAACCGAAAACATTACTGGAATCTTGGTCAATGAATGCCAAATGTTTCCTTATAGAGAAACGGCTAATATTACCATCATACATTTCATTTTAACATTTGTTTTGAAAGATTACTTCCAGTAAAATCCAAAGCAATTTATTTATAGATTAATTCCTGAACACTATTTTTCCGACATTGTAGAAGAGAAGATGACTAACCTCATGCGGCAAAGTATGCACGCATATGCCTGACGTGCAAAATAAGTAAAGAAAAGGCAAAAGAAATATGGCAGCCCTAACACCTCAATTTAAGAAAGACACAGTCTCAGAGCCAGGAGAATTAGCAAGAGTGGTTGGGCATATGCAAATTTTTTGTGAGATCAGCTCAGCATAAAAACACCACATAAAAGAGAATAGACAGTTTGCTTGTGATTATGATGCTTCTTATATGGAGAGACTGTTAGTTGGAAAGAGATTACTTGGATCAGTTTCACACTGATATGACATACTGTTTTAGTGCTGATACTATTTTTTTAATCATCTTAACCCATGCAAGGCAATAAAGTCACTAGGATACAAGAGGTTAATGAGTGTTAGAGAAAAACCACTATTAAAGAGAGAGGACAATAAAAGAACATGAATTAAGACAGAACATTACATTTAATTTTTTGAAGGCCAAAGTTGACTGAGAAGCAAGAAGCTGGAAGAGAGTTCCA